AAATAGAGATGGGGTTTTACCATGTTGGCCAGGCTGGTCTCAAACTCATGTCCTCAAGCCATCTACCCACCTAGGCCTTCCAAAGTGCTGGGATTACAGACGTGAGCCACTGCACCCGGCCTGTTTTGTTGATTTGTTTTTTGATTTCAATGTTTAAAATTTAGTTTCTGGTAAAAGATGATAACATTTGAGTTCTAATTTGCTGTCAACTCTGCCACCAGAAAAAAAGTAATAGGAATGAAATTATTCTCAGCAAAATACTTTAATCTCTTAGAATTAAAAGCTTAAAAGTATTAAATGCATTTTAGGTCTTTATTAGTTCTCCGGAACTAAAATTGTATTTCAGCAAAAATAATGAATTAAAATTTTGCTCATTAATTACCAAATATTTATTTCAGAACCATAATATGAAACGCACAGAAACAAAAGCACACAAACAACTCCGAAAAAAATTACTTGGTATCTCTTAGAGAAGAAAAATGTCTTCTTCGGGGCAAGAAGTGTGTTATTCTGTGTCACTTTCAGAAAGAGGTCACACGTTTTCTCATTGATCTTACTTCCTATTTGGTAGCAAAATAATGTGAGATGAGGCAGTGAACATTCCTGGCGACAAGCCCAGATGTGAAAAAATATGTGTCAGGACATTTTCTGAATTCCATCTTTTTCCCAGAGATATTCTTGCAGATGAATGGTCTTTGCCCTACGTCAGGGATACAATCACATGGCTGTACTTTAGGAGGAAGTCTTCTGGCAGCCCATTACTTATAAACACAAGCCAGCTGGATTCCAGGCGTGCACTCGAAATTCCCTGGCAGTCCTATTACACGGCTACGTGGCTTCAGCCAGTGGGTTCCCAGGAATTTACTACCAAAGCATAAACAGGCTACAAGTGTCCTGTTTGCCCTTGTTTTTACAAAGAGATAAGGAAAAGGGTCACTTTCTTTCTGTGAAGGTGGGTGGAGTGGAGAAGAGATTTGGGAGAAGTACAGTGTCATTAAATCGACCTGAAATGCTTTTGAACATCTCTGTTCCTCAGGCAACATCAGGAACACTGAGAAGCTGAGCTATGACAAACAACACCAGTATGAGATCCTGGTGACCGCCTACGACTGTGGACAGAAGCCCGCTGCTCAGGACACCCTGGTGCAGGTGGATGTGAAGCCAGTTTGCAAGCCTGGCTGGCAAGGTGGGCCTGTTTTATCAGTCTTGTGTGAAGGCAGCATGGTCTGGTGTATAGAAAGTGCTGTACTTGTTCTCAAATCATCACAACACACAACTTTTTTAAGTATAGTCACTTTGCTGTGAGAAATAAAGTAGCTTGCTTATTCTCACAACTCTTAGGTAATATATTATCCCCATTTTTCAGCTGAGAATGTCAGAGACATCTCCTCTAACCTCATGCGCCCTGCTTGTCCAGTGCTCCCTTTCTCAAATCTCATGACATCTTTGATCAATAGAAATTATCTCACAGCATGTAGGAGAAATTGCCAGCAAGCCTATTCACTTTACCCTAGGGTGCTGAGTCTACCTAATGCATTTCAAGTTTTACATCACGGATCAACACCTAGGGAAAGTCATCGTGTTCTTTGTGCTCACACAGAGTGCACACAGGCAGAGGCGGGAGACCCAGAATCCAGCCTCTGGATTAGGGAGTATATAAAATGTTGACTCTGGGAATGAAGAAGCAATGGCTTTTGATGGAGGTGGATTTTTTTGTCAGTTTAGCTCTTTTAAAATGCAAGGAAAACTAAATGCTTAGGTCGCCCTTAGATAATAGAGTTTATCACTGAACTGAGGGCAAGTAAGGAAGGTGAGGACAGCTGCATAGATGGACCTTACAGAGATTTGAGTGATTTGTGGAATAATAATAGCTTTAGTGGTAATGCTAATAGATCTGGTGGCTGAGCAGTGATTCTAGAATTATCTCTGCACCATTATTTTGGTGGCCCAATGACTCCCTGTCTCTACTTCATGTGTTGAAGATGCTGCAGGCTATTGCTTACTCATAACTCATAAAGTGCTTCATTTCTGAGTATTGCCTTCTTTTGGTGTGTCTTTAAGCTTCTGCCTCCCCCTTATATTCTCATATTTTCTCTCTGTCTCTCTGCCTCTCCCTCTCTCTCTCTCTCTCTCTCTCTCTCTCTCTCTCTGTCTCTCTCTGCTATCTTTAATTCTTAAATTCCCTAGAAAGAGTTGATATTAGTCACTCACATCCATGTAGGGAAGACTGATGCCAGACCACCCTATAAATCTCTCATCAGTCCTTGAATGACTGCCTTTTATTCAGTTATTCATTCCTAATCCAATTCATCAGGGTCAGATGGCAGGACATTATGGTACAAAGTAAGGACACCTGTGTCTGAGAAGCTGCCTGACATCATTCCCCTCAGAAGGCAGTTCTCAAAGCGCTCCTCCCTTGAACAACTTGATCTCCCTTAAACTTAAAACTGAAAAGATCGGAAGGGGTAATTTAACCCACCTCTGGAGAGAGCCAGAGTTGTTTGCCTTTGAACAAAGTAGAAAAGACGAAATGCTCAGTAGAGGAACCACAGGTAAGGCACATGAGAGATAAAGAACAAAGCAGAGTCATCTTTATGTCAGTCTGCTAGGATCAAGGAAGAGACATAGAAAGAAGGACAAGCCAGAGTGGGAAACTTTGTTTTCCCAACCTCGGGGAGCCTGAGCTCCGATTGGTATAATTCACTAGACCCAAGGACCCTGCAGACAGACTTCTGTCTTGTTCACCACTGAATTTCTCAAGCTTGGTGCGGTGTCTAGTGCCAGTGGTGGGTGCTCAAGAAAATAGTCATTGAATGAATGAATGGATGGACGAATGAAATAAAAGGTATCTGAGTTAAGAAGAACTCGCCTTGTTTTGTTTTTAACTCATGGGGATTAGCTCCAGTGAAGGTGTGGCCTTTGAAGAGAAAACCTGGAAAAAATATATAAACTCTCTATGCATGAAATATGTTCACAATGAGAATTTAAGTGGGAAAAGCAAAACACACAGCTCTATCAGGGGAATAGTCCCAATGTTTCTTTGACTCTGACAAATGAGGCACCTACAGATTTGTGATTACATTTTTATTCCTATATTTAAATGTAATTTCCTAACAGAATTTGTACTTATTAAATGTATGCAAGGAAAAACCTGGTCACAATGTTTAACTCTACATGCGAAGAATGTATTGAGCACCACCCTGTAGTGCACACTGCTGTTTGCGTCCGGACAAACCTTGTTGGGCAAGGCTGGTGCCCATTTGCTGTTGTGTCTCCAGTGCCCAGCACAGAGTCAGACATGATGCAGGCACTTAGCAAGTGTTTAATGATGGAGGAATGGTCAGCAAAACTTTGGTTTAAAAAATGTACCTTTCTGTGGAATAAAGAAAGCAGGGAAGAGGCAATTCCCTGCATCCATTGATAGGCAAAATGATTTAAACACATGTAACATCAGAATCAGCTACTTCATGGTGGCTTCCCTGCCTTAGCTGTGTGGGCTATGATGAGGTTTCTCTTCAAATAACCTGATCAATACTTTACTCTTTAATTCATAGTACTCCCCCACCCCTTTTTCCTTTTTCTCTTTTTTTCCTTTCTGCCTTTGCTACATGCCCAGACACGCCATAGTACCAGGCTTATCAGTACCAGCTCACATTCCTTTCCTTATTTGGAAAGAAGACTAGCTCTCTAGCTCATTGCAGACACCCCTTCCCCTTTTCCCCGCTCTCCCTTATGTGCCCACCCTATCTAAAGAAAGTTCAAATGTTTACCCATCCAGGATTAGTTCAAATTGTGCGACCCGACCCCAGCCAATGGGGAGAGGGTACAGGGGCAGGACATGCGTCAGGAATAAAGGCTTTCCTGCCCCTTTGCTCAGGTGTGGTCTCATGGTGACTGGCCAAGGAGAAGCACCCCTCTGCACAGAAGTAAAATTGCTTTGCTAAGGATCCTTTGTTTGAGTGTTCAATTTCCTTAGGATTTTGAGCGTTATTCCCAACAGCTGTGGTGGCAGAAGCTGACAATGAATTCTTCATCCTTAATCTTCTCCCTCCAGCTTACCCCTTGCAATTCCTTCCTGCCTAAAGGGAAATGACTTAGAACAGGTACAAGAATTCAAACTGCCAAACTGTGTTTGGCATCCAGAGCCAGAATCTGGGATGTCTTCTCTCTCAGTCACTGCTCCAGTAGGCTTCTAGATCATAGACAGGCCCTCCAGGCTCTCTGATATGTAGAGCAGGCCATAGGACCTTTCTACCATTCCTGTCCCAGCTCCTAGACCTAGAGAGGAACCTCCTCTCCTCCTCCCAGCCTATGAATTCACTTCATTCCTCCACTTGGACAACGCTGAACTCTTCTTACTCGCTCATCTTGGGGCCTATTCTGTCTTATATCCAGGGCTGCAGCCTCTTAACTGGAAGTTCACCTTTCTCCAGGGAAGAACTGACCACAACTGGTCTGAGTTGTGTGTCTCTTGTCCTGCCCCTTCTCCCAGCTGTGCAGAGCAAACTGGAATGAACCGTGTTTTACTGGCTTGCTTGCTACTTGCAGATGATGCAGACTGCCCCTTACTGTGAGTGGGCATCAGATGCCTTGGGGGAAAGGTTTGGCTTTTCACGGAGCCAGTATGGGGTGAATCCTGCACTTTGTAAATGGACCAGGAACACAGAGAGGGGAGGACATTCAGGGGAACAATGAACAATATGAGGAGAGCAGTTTGGCTTGCAGAGAAGGCTGTGCCTGGAGAGATGTGGAAAGCAAGATTGGAGGGGCCTGCAGTAGGGGAGGGTGGGTGGCTGAGGTTTTGAGGTCAAGGTGAGGAGCTGCAGTGAGCCTCAATCCCCTCAGATCCAGCTGAGAGGGGGCTGTGTGCGTTTGCCAGATGTAATTCCACTTAATTCTCTGGGAGAACAGAGGTTCCTCCCAAACTGACTTCTCACAAGCAACTGGAGTAACCAAGCAAATGCACTTTGGCAGTTTGAATTCTGGTACCTGTTCCAAGCCATTTCCTTTTAAGCAGGAGGGGATTGCACCCAGTGAATCCAATCCATTACATGCAAGAGCTCCCGCCTCCCCCAAGCAATCCCGATCAGCGTGTCACCTAGTCCTTACTGTGGCCAGCTTCTTCCAGGGAGCTTTCTCAGAGCAAAGGACCCTGCCCACAGCTGGAGCCTTTCCTTCCTCCTCAGGACCCATGAGGACTTGCTCTCAGATTCCAGTGATGCCCCAGGGCAGTGGCCCTCATTGTTTATCACAATTGCCCCTTCCATGGGCAGGACTAGAAGAGGCTTTCTCTGAATGCTACTGGCCTTACCCAACTATGCACAGAAGGACATCTTAGACCCCGGCTCTTCTGCTGCCTGCCTTTCAGACCTTAGCCAAAGTACTATCTACGAAGGCTATGGTTTTCTAATTCCTGTCTTTTCTCTGTGGGTTGGTCTTATCTTCTCCCTTAGGGCAGAACCACACTTCTTGCAGCCCATGCACTGAACTTTCCATCCGTCACCTAAGCATGAACTAAAAGTGTGTTTGCTGGCATCACTCACCAATGGGCAGGGTGGGGCTTATCAAGGTTTTAGCTTACAGCAAGGGGAAGAAGGAAGTCTTTGTATCCAGAAAATAAGCCCAGAGTACCTGGCACATGCATCTTGCTCTTATGTGAGCTTTGTCTTCTCTGCTGTATTCTGAGATTGTTTTTCTGAATAGGTGGTAATGGTCAGCTCACTCTGCAGTGAGGAGGAACTTTGCTGAAGGGAACACTCCCATTCTCAGTTGGCCAGGGAAGAGGATGGCTCAAAGCATAAGCCAGACCTGTTTTGTTCTGAGCTTTGAGAACTCACAGTGTGCTTAGAGGTACCTCTAGTTTTCAGGGATGAAAAATTATATTAGGAACTAGGAAAGTGAAGCACCTGCAGTAGGTCACATGCTAATGACAGGCTTGCATCCTGCCTCTCATGCCAAGTGTTTGAATTTGCAGTCTTTCTTTTAAAAATTTAATTTAATTTTAAGTTCCGGGATACATGTGCAGGACATGCAGGTTTATTACATAGGTAAACATGTGCCATGGTGGTTTGCTGTCCCTATCAACCCATCACCTAGGTATTAAGCCCCACATGCATTAGCTATTTATCCTGATGTACTCCCTCCTCCCTGCCACCTGACAGGCCCCAGTGTGTGATGTTCCCCTCC